TCGATGATGATCTTCACGCTGCTTGGTGTCACGACTCCCGCCTTCACCGCGCCGATCGTCACGGGGCTTGGTATCACGATTGCCGCCCATCACGATCTTGAATATAGTTGCCGTGATCTCGTCGAGATCCACCTCAGCCGCCGTACAAGGCCTCGATGTGGTCAGCTGCAGGCGCACGAGCCGACCCTGGACGAAGTCGAGGCTCTCGAAGCGGCCTTGCTTGAAGAAGATAGGCTTCTTGTTCGTCACGCGCTCCACGATGTGATGGACCGTGGCAAGGTCAGGAAACTCCAACTCCACGCTGTGCCCCTTTGCGTGGGTGTTGGCCAGAATGCGATGGCAACGCACGACAGCATCCTCGTCCTCCTGATCCTCCCCGCGCCTGGCACGGGCGCGCGCGCGTTCATCACTGCTCTGTGCGGCCCCTGGGCCGTCGTCGGCGTCCTGGCGTAGGCTCGGCGCAGGCATGCTTTTGGGCCTGGGGTGCATAATGATCCGCTCTGGCGCGCCCGCTCGACCCTCCACTGGATGCCTCTGGGCGGGCACCGACTGGGGAGCACGGCGCCATGGAGCGCGGCCACGACGCTCCTCGGCACTGCCTGCCATGCCAACCCAGTGGACGATCGGTCCATGCACCTGCCTAGGCGCCGGCGGCTTCACAGAGGTCCGCTGGTTGGGCGACGCTGGCTGGCCATTCTTAGGCCCGATCTTGTTGTACGGCTCGCGCTCGCCACTCTTCACCTGGGGCACTCCGGGTCGCCACGCCAGTGGCCAGGCTGATCGCAGTCAGCACACCGGCTGTTAGCCTTGCGCTGGTCTGTCGGCTTCCGACCAGCCTGGAAGGAGCCGCTAGCGTTGATCTTCTTGGGGCCCCGCTGCCGAGGAGCAACGAACCCGCGCTTCTGACGCTGTACCGCCGTTTTCTGCTTGGCCCTCCAGCCGGCCAAGAACGCTTCCTGAAGATCCTCCGGTGCCTCGTACTCCTCGTCGTCAGGCCCGTCGTTGTCCGACGCCAGCTCCTCGTCGACCTCAGCGCCGTCCTCGAAGAGGGCGCCCTCGGCCCCTCCATGGTCTCCATCGTCCTGGTCGTCTGCTTCATCTTCGTCATGATGCGCCTCCTCGAGGTCGCCGCGGTGTTCATCGTAGTCTTCGCCGTTCTCTACCTCGCGTACGTGCTGGCCAGGGCGTCCTCGCAGCACGCATGGCCTACGAGCCATGGGAGGGTGCGGATAGCGACCGCCCGAACTCCCAGAGGAGCGCCCGTGCTCACGCTGCGCCGCAAACGGCGAGCGGCGAGGGAGCACTGAGCGTTTCTCGGTGTCGTGCGCCTTCGAATAGGCTGCCTTCAGCACAACCTCCATCCGCTTCGAGTCGTAGATGCCGCCACAGTTGAAGAGCACCTGCGCTCGCTCCTTCTGCGACAGTCCAGCGCCACGAAGCATCTTGCTTGCCAATGCGCGATCGCTGATCGCTGATGTGGGATCCTCGAGCTGCAACTCCATGCGCTTCTTGCGCAGGTACGTGGTCCAATCCATGATCGGCTGCCCAGCTCGACGGTGTGCTCGCTCCCAATCCTGATGCACCTGATCGAGGCGCTCGTGATCCATCTTCTCGAAGGCGTCGTCGTAGATAGCAAAGATGGTCTCGAGCGTCTCCTCGCGTCGGAGGTCCGACGCGTCAAGCACCTCGATGAGCTCTTTGGCTCGACCTGTCACTTGACTGTAGATGATCAGGCCCAGCTCCACGTCTGAGAGCTGATTGAGGTTGCGGATGACTTCAACCTCCTTGCGCCACTCTCGGTACTTCTTAGTACTCGTACCGACTCCACCATCGAACTCTGGGAGCCTCACCTGCGACAGCAGTAGACGTGTACGTCTGGGACCGCCGTCGCCACGATCCCGATGCAAGGCCAAGAGCTCCCGCTGGGTCTCGGCCATCACGCGCAGGACTGCATGCAGGTCCGGGGGACCTGTGCCTGCGGAGGACGCAGCCTCCACGTCTGAGCCGTCGTGGCTGGTGGCCATGGCGGCCCACGCGGGTGGTCACAACCACCGAAGCAGAGCACGCAGTGCGTCCGCTGGAGCTTACTAGCTCCGCTACCAATGTCAGTGCAGTTGTTTTCAGCAAAGACCGCGCGGCAGTCCAACTGCGGGTGCGTCCCAGGGCCCTAGGACTAGGGCCAAAACAGCGGCGGGCAGCGTGCATGCCACAAAACAAGACAAGCGTGTACAACATACACACATGGTGGCACGGGCGGCAGAGGGGCAGGGGAGCGCACTCTTCACAGACGTAACAGGATTGCCACAGTGGGGGCCAAGAAATCCGCGCCTCACCGGAGCCGCACGGAGCCCGAGCTTTACCAGCCTAGAACATATCCCTATCCCTATGCTGGGCATCTCCTCATCACGATGCCAGTCTAAGGGATTCCCTTATTTCCCAACCATCCTGTGGTGTTGGGTCCTCGTTTTGAAGAGACGGTGCCCCGCGTTCCTCCTCCCGCTGCCCCCTCCCCCCTCCTCCCATTATCATCACCATCCTCATCATGCTCATCATCATGAATATCGTCATCATCATACACATCGTGGTTGTCCGTCATCATCATCATCATCATCATCATCATCATCATCATCATCATCATCATCATCATCATCATCATCATCACCATCATCATCGTCATCATCATCATCACCACCACCATCATCATCATCATCATCATCAGCATCAGCAGCATCATCATCATCATCATCATCATCATCATCATAATCATCAGCATCGGCACACCCCTGACACGCTTCGTGGCCCCATAGGGAGCTCCATCTAAGGCCCAAATGGCTGCGTCCGCATGCCGCCGCCACCCAATTTTGGCACACCCCTGACACGCTTCGTGGCCCCATAGGGAGCTCCATATAAGGCCCAAATGGCTGCGTCCGCATGCCGCCGCCACCCAATTTTGGCACACCCCTCACACGTTTCGTGGCCCCATAGGGAGCTAGCTCCATCTAAGGCCCAAATGGCTGCGTTCGCATGCCGCCGCCACCCCATTTCGGCACACCCCTTACACGCTTCGTGGCCCCATGGGGACTCCACCGAAGGCCCAAATGCTGCGTCCGCATGCCGCCGCCGCCGCCCAATTTTGGCACACCCCTCACACGCTTCGTGGCCCCATAGGGAGCTCCATCTAAGGCCCAAATGGCTGCGTCCGCATGCCGCCGCCACCCCATTTTTGGCACACCCCTTACACGCTTCGTGGCCCCATGGGGAGCCCCACCGAAGGCCCAAATGGCTGCGTCCGCATGCCGCCGCCACCCAATTTTGGTACACCCCTCACACGTTTCGTGGCCCCATAGGGAGCTCCATCTAAGGCCCAAATGGCTGCGTTCGCATGCCGCCGCCACCCCATTTTGGCACACCCCTCACACGTTGCGTGGCCCCACAGGGAGCTCCACCGAAGGCCCAAATGGCTGCGTTCGCATGCCGCCGCCACCCCATTTCGGCACACCCCTCACACGTTTCGTGGCCCCATAGGGAGCTCCACCGAAGGCCCCAGTGGCAGACCTCGCATGCCGCCCGCCACGACGACAGCCTCACGGGGGACCTCACGGGCCCGCTGGCGTTCATCGAGCCCCGCACGTCGGAGCCGTTCACCTTCCGCACCTCCAAGGTCACCCGGACGGGCTTCCCGTTTTCACACGGCAGGGTCACCACCACGGTGGCGTGCCAGGGGCGCACCATGCGGGAAGGCGGCGGGGCGGGGGAACGGCGCCACCGGGCAGTCTACGGCCGAACCCTTCGAACGCGAGCGGTCCGCAGCCGGACCTTCTCGGTCCCGTGGACTCTCGCCCTGGGCCGTCGGCTGTCTTGCGCGCCGCTCCCTCGACCGACGCCGCCCAGGCGTGATCCTGGACTGCGGCCGCCACGAGGTCGGGAACGGCAAGAAGGAGGACGACGACTGGTGGCTGGAGCTCTACGTGCTGCTCTCGCGCGCCACGCGCCACGAGGATCTCCTGCTCACGCGGGCGCCGCTCATCGAGTTCTTCCTGGCAGGGCCGCCGGAGGGCTTGCGGAAGCAGCTGGGGCAGTTTGCTGCGCGCACGAAGCGGCGCAGGAGGGAGGCGACGGCCCTCGCCAGAGAGCTGGGCTTCAGCGAGTTCATCCGCGAGGCCTGACCTGGGGAGCGGCCCCGCACGAGCCAGCGGCGCGCGCTGGTTGTCGCTGACGCTTGGATGACCCCAGCTCGTCGTCGGGATGTCTCGCCAGAGGATGACCGGCGCCTGTCGGGGGATTTCACCCAGATCGCGCCATTTTCGCACGCCTCGCCACGCAGTACGGGGGCGCTATCCGTTGACTCAGAGTCGCAGTGGACAACCCCCGCGCGTCGATGGGATTCCCTCGGGATGACCAGACCGCGTCGGCGAGGACTTCCCAGGCACTTTCGCGCGGCGCCGCCTGCGCGCTGCATTCTGCGCGGCTCGCTGTCGGTCTGGAGGCAAAAACGTCTCCCCTCGTCTCTCGCTCCTCCTGCTTCCCATCGCTTCTTGACCGCGCGCTTCCCCGTCTCGTTTCTGCCGCTGCTGACCTGCCTTCGACATCTACACGGTGTCTCCGTCACCTCTTCCTGCGTGCCCAGTAACAGGTCTCATGATGCGATGATGATACTGATGTGTTGCCTCGCCCCAGTGAGCTCTCCTCCTCCGCCCGCCACCTCCTGCCCGCGCTGCCCTGTGCCTCGTCCATGCAGTGGCGCGGTGCCTATGAGAAAAGGGGCCTAGTTTGCGTGCCCCCTCCTTCGTCTCATATCCGTGCGGTACTCGCAGCTGCATATGGTTGGGTCCTTCGCCAGGCTAATTTATGAGGGCGAATTCCTAAGATTGTCATCGCCTTTTGGCGTGTCAATCTTAGGGATAGGGATAAGTTCGAGGCTGGCAAGAGCTACGAAGACCGCCGCGCCCGCGCGGCTCCGTGGGCGACCCCCCCCCCTCCCAGCGCGCGCGCGCGCCCGCCTGCGCCCGCGAGGCAGCCACCAGCGAGGAGGGATGCGAGCCCTTGGCTGCTCGCCTTCGGAAGGGGGGGGCACTCGCCCCAGTTGGGAGGGCGGTTCACTCCTCCTCCTCCTCCTCATCCTCTTTCTCCTCCTCCTCCTCCTCCTCCTCCTCCTCCTCCTCCTCATCCATCATCATCATCATCATCATCATCATCATCATCATCATCATCATCATCATCATCAACAACAACAACATCATCATCATCATCATCATCATCATCATCATCATCATCATCATCAACATTATCAGCATCATCACCATCATCATAACCATGAATATGACCATAAACATGACCATGACAATGACCACCACCACCACCACCACCAGTCACCACCACCACCACCACCGTCACCGACACAATCATCTGCATCGTCTACATCATGATAATCATGATGCTGATGATGATGATGATGATGATGGTGATGATGATGATGATGATGATGATGATGATGATGATGATGATGATGATGATGATGATGATGATGATGGTGGTGGTGGTGGTGGTGGTGGTGATGATGATGATGATGATGATGATGATGATGATGATGATGACCATCACAATCACCAACAGCAGCATCAGCATCATCAGCATCATTATCAGCATTATCAGCAGTATCATCAACATAAGCATCGTCATCGGCATCATCAGCAGCAGCGAGAGCAGTAGCAGCAGCATCCTCATCTGTATCATCATCATCATCATCATCATCATCATCATCATCAGCATCAGCATCAGCATCACCATCCTCATCATCATCATCAGCATCATCATCATCACCATCATCATCATCAGCATTATCATCATATGCATCATCATCATAATCATCAGCATCATCATCAACACGTGTACCATCATCAGCAGCATCATCATCATGATCATCATCATCAGCATCAGCGTCATCATATGCAGCATCACCATCGTCAGCAACATCAGCATCAGCACCGTCGTCGTTGGCGTCGTCAATCATCAGCATCGTCATCGTCATCATCATCATCATCATCAGCATCATCATCAGCATCATCATCATCATCATCATTATCAGCAGCAGCAGTAACATCCCAATCATCATAATCAACCTATTCATCATCAACACGTGTATCATCAGCATCAGCATCAGCAGCTGCATCATCAGCATCAGCATCAACATCAGCATCATCATCACCTTCGCCACAACCACTACCAGGGTCACCTACACCTCCTCCGCCTTCCTCCTCCTCCTCCTCCTCCTCCTCCTCCTCCTCTCCCTCCTCCTCCTCCTCCTCCTTCTCCTCCTCCTCCGCCCCTCCTCCCTGGGGCCTGCCGGAGTTCCGTACGAAATTTCCCTTGGCCGTCATGGAAAAGGCCTGGATCGGGCTCTTCAGATCCACCTACCCGCGCGGCCGCTGGGACACGCACGACGACGACGACGACGACGACGACGACGACGACGACGACGACGACGACGACGACGACGACATCGACGACGCCGACGACGCCGACGACGCCGACACCGACGGACATAGCGGCGACGACGAGGGCGACTCGGGGACTGGGAGGGAGGAGGGAGAGGAGGTTAGCAGGATGAGGAGGAGGGGAGAGGAGGGGGAGACAAGAGGAGGATAGGAGTGGGGCGAGGCGTAGGCGAGGAGAGATGAAACGACAGGAGAGAGAGAGAGAGAGAGAAGACGTGGAGGAGAAAGGGCATGGCGAAGGAGACGACGCGGAAGCACAGGAGATAGGTACACATATCTCGATGTAAAGACAGAGATCGGAAAGCGCAGCGTTGTGTACATATCGATGCGTGTGCATATACATGTACATAAATATGCGCGCATACCTATACATATACATATACGTATGCATATGCATATACATACACATACACATATACAAATACATACACATATACACATACAAACACATACACATACACATACACATACACATACACATACACATACACTTACACATACACATAAACATACATATACACATACCCATACCACATACACATACATATATACATATAATTGTGCATATGCATATACATATACACATACCTATACGTATGCAAATACGTATACACAAACATATATATTACACATATATATATATACATACATATAAATATACAAATACATATACATGTACATGCACATATACAAATACATATACGTATACACATACACACATATATATACACACACGTGTACCTATACACACGCATGCAGGCATACATCTGCATGCATACGTGTTTGCCGATCAAGGTCATGTAGCAGATGTGCATACACGTCTACGGGTGCGCACATGTGTCCCTATGTATGAGAGAGCGCGCCCGTGGCACGCTTCCCAACGGGGGGAGGTCTCCCCTCAGCGAAAGACCTCCCCTGCTGGAAGCCCCCCCCCCCGCCGCCCTTTTCCCCGCACCTCGGAAGCTCCGCCCCCCCTACTAGAAGGGGGGGGCTTAGCTACCCCCTCCCCCTTGCACATCCCCTGCCAGAAGCCCCCCCTCCCCCTCCGTCTTTCCACCCCTCGCAAGCTGCCCCCCAGCGCCCCACTGTCGCGCTCGGGAAGCTACCCACTCCTCCCTTGCCAAAAGGGGGGGGCTTAGCTACCCCCCCTCCCTTTGAACCTCCCCATCCAGAAGCCCCCCACCTCCCCCCCTTTCGAGCCCCCGGCCTTGACTGAAGGAAGGCGCGCCGAATACCAAAAGGGCGCTGAAAACCAACGAAGCGCCGAAAACCAAAGAGCCACCGAGAACCAAAAGGGTGCGAAAACCAGAGGCGCGCCGAAAACAGAAGGAACGCCGAAAACCGAAAGGGCGCCGAAAAACGAAGGTGCGCCGAAAACCATCGTAGCGCCGAAAACCAAAAAGGGGCGCCCCAAAACGGAGCCGAAAACCAAAAGAGTGCCGAAAACCAAAAGAGCGCCGAAAAGCAAAGGGGCGCCGAAAACCAAACGGCGCCGAAAGCCTAACGAGCGCCGAAAACCAAAGAGGCGCCAAAAACCAAACAAGGCTCCGAAAACCAGCGGGGCGCCGAAAACATAAGAGGCGCCGAAAACCAATAGAGCGCCGAAAACTACAGAGCACCGACAACCAAAAAGGCGACAAAAATCAAAAGAGCACCGAACTTGGAAAGGACGCCGGAAACCAAACAGGGCGCCGAAACCCCATAGGGTGCCGACAACCAAAGGATCGCCAAACACCAAGAGGGCACCAAGAACCAAAACGGTGCTGGAAACCAAAGGGGCGCCGAAAACCGAAAGGGCACCGACAACCAAAACGGCGCCGAAAACCACAGGAGCGCTGAGAACCCAAGAAACGCCGAAAAGCGCGAGGGCGCCGAGAACCCAAGGACCGCCGAAAACCAGCGGGGCGCCGAAAATAACCAAAAGGACGCCGATAATCAAAGGGGGCGCAGAAAACCCAAAGGAGGACGAAAACCAGAGCAGCGCCGAACACAACAAAAAAAAAAAAACGAAAACCAAAGATGCGCCGGAAGCCAAAATGCGCCGGAAGCCAAAAGGACACAGAAAACCAAGAAGGCGCCGAAAACTAAGAGGGCACCGAAAATCAAAGGTGCGCCGAACACCCACAGGGCGGCGAAAACCAAACAGAGAGCCGAAAAACAAAGGGCGCCGAAAACCAGCGATGCGCCGAAAACCAGAAAAGGGCGACGAAAAACCGAAGGGGCGCCGATAACCAAGAGGGCGCCGAAAACGAAAGAGGCGCCGAAAACAGCAGAGGATCCAAAGACGGACAGGGCGCGGAAAACAAAAACGGCGCCGAAAACTAAGGGGGCGCCGAAAACCAACGACGCGCCGAAAACCACAGGGACTCCGAAAACCGAAGGGGCGCCAAAAACCAAAAGGGCGCCGAACACCAATAGGGAGCCGAAACAAAAGACGAGCCAATAACCAAAAGGGCGCCGAAAGCCGAGGGGCGCCCAAAACCAGAGGGGCGCCGAAAACCAAAAGGGCACCGAAAACCAAAAGGGCGCAGAAAACTAAAGGGGCGCCGAAAATCAAACGGGCGCCGAAAACCAAGAAGGCGCCGACAACCAAAGGAGCGCCGGAATCCAAGAGGGCGCCGAAGAGAAACGATGCGCCGAAAAACAAGCAGTGCGCAGATAACCAAACAGGGCGTCGAAAACCTCAGGAGCGCCGAAAACCAAAAGGTGCAAAAATCCAAAAGAGCGCCGAAAGTGAAAGGGGCGCCAAAGGCTCAAGGGGAGCCGCAAACCAGCGAGGTGCCGAAAACCAAAGAAGCACCGAAAACCACAAGTACGCCGAAAACCAAGAGGGCGCCGAGAACCACAGAGGAAAAGTAGCTTCGACCCCCACCCTTCAACCAAGGCCCTCCAGCTGAAAAAGCCAACGGAAGGAGGGGAGGGGAGGGGGAGGGGAGCCCAGGCTTACCCTGGGCCACCAAAAGGAGGGGGAGGTAGCTTCCAAGCCCCACCACCCCTTAGCAAGGGACCCCCCAGCTACAACATCCGATTATTTCAAAGAAAAATCTCAATCAGTGGATGATTTGAAAACTCGTGGTGTGGACATTGAGATCGATTGTGAGATCGATAGTGAGACCGATAATGGGATCGATAATAAGGACGATAGTACGGTCGATCGTGAGACCGATCGTGAAATCGATTCAGTGAGATCGACAGTGACATCGACCGTGAGATCGCTTGTGCGATCTACAGTTGGATCGACTGTGAGATCCATACAGAGGTGGGTAGTGAGATCGACTGTGAGACCGATCGATAGAAGATCGACTAGGACCCCGGGAACCCAGCAACCTCGCTGCCCTCCGAAGTCGGCCCCGAAACCGGGAACCCGGGAACCTCAGCGTACCACCAAGATTGGCGGGACACTTTCGCCAAATCCTTCAACTTCCGCGAGGACCCCTTCAGTGCAAGCACTCATTGGGGAAAAAGGAAGGGAGGGGGAGGTCGTCGAAAGCCCCCCCCACACCTTTGACAGGGGGGCGCCGGCTGACCCCGGGCCCCGAAAAGGGGGGTAGCTTCCAAGCCCCACCCCCTTCAGCTAGGCCCTCTCAACTAAAATCCCCACAAAAGGGTAGAGGAGGGGTAGCTTCCGAAACCCCCACCCCTTTTCCTAGGGAGGGGGTGGGGGGTAGCTTGAAGCTGGCCCCCCCTTTATTGAGAAGTGTGCCAGGAGCGCGCAGGAGCGCGCTCATTATATATATATATATATATATATATATGGTCACGCCCAGCGCACCCCAAACCACCAAAACCACCAAACGTTCACTGATACTTTCCTCATCTGCCTCCTCCTCGTCCGTCTTCTTCCTCCTCTTCTGCTTACTCCTCCTTCTCCTCTCTTCCTACGCCTCCTCCTCCTCCTCCTCCTCCTTCTCCTCCTCCTCATCCTCCTCCTCCTCCTCCTCCCCCTCCTCGTCCCTCGCGCCAGAAGCGCGACAAGAAAGCTGAACGCCATTGTGTGCTTCAAGTTCCCCAGGTCGTGCAATTGAACAACACCTTTGTTTCTGATTATCGTGTCTCCGATGATCTGCATCACTAAAACGCTGTGTGTTCATAGTGCTGAAGTGTCTCTGCATGTTCAAAAAGAACTTGCAAACTTCTGCCAGAGACTGCGCAGACTGAGTGGTCTCTGCAGGTAGTGTGAAAAATCTGAAAGTCCACATCTTTATAGTGCTCTTGAGAATTTGCAACATCGGAAAATGTAGGAAACACATATGTTTCTCAATTGTGCGATCTGGAACACATGAAACACACAACGAAGATAAGATGGCGCGCCTCCCTCTCTCTCTCCATCTCTCTCTCTCTCTCTTTCTCTCCCTCCCTCCCTTCATCTCCACAATGCCTCCCTCTCCTCTCGTCCCCCCAGTGACCCTCTCTCTTCTACACCTCTACACCTACTGACACCCATCTAACTGATCGCAGTGGTGTGGTGTTCCATGCTTCTGCGTTTCGCTGCGTTGCGCTCGCCACGCAAGAGCATCGGCGAATGCGGGCGGTTGGTGTGCGGTGTTCCCTGTCCCTCCTCCCGGTTCCACTCCTCCTGGGTCCGCCTCCTCTGCTTCCTCGTCCTCCCGGCCATCGACCCGCCCTGCGTCCTCTTCCTTCCTCCGTCTCCCCCATTCCTCCCTGGCGCGGCCGGCATTTTCCCTGCCCCCCCTCTCCCCCCCAAGGGACTGCTGAAACCAGCGCATTGCTCGAGGCATCCTCAACACCTGTTCTGAAAGACGAGGGGCTCGCACCACAAAACAAGCAGACCGCCTGAGAGACCTGGCCGCGAAGGGGCCCGTGCAGATACCCTGGGCGGCATGCCCGTGGGAGTGCCGAAACCAGCGCCTCGCTCGAGACGTCCTCGCTGTGCGCTCCGCTCCGGAAACAGGGGTACTGAAGACAGCGCCCCGCTTGAGACATCCGCACAGTCTCCCCGGAAGCGAGAACGCGGGAGTCTGAGTCTAAGTGTGTGTGAGTCTGAGTGCGAGTGAGTGCGGGTGAGAGTGATTTTGAGTGCAGGTGAGTCTCTGAGCGTGAGGAGGTGACAATGATACGAGCCGCACCTGAAGTCGGACATATACTCGGTGCGCACATTGCGCTGGGAAACCAATCGGGCAAGTCCGAAGGATCCGACGGAATGTTCGATGAATCCACTGGCAACGCGACGGATCGACGAACCCACGGGGGCGATAATGAAAGGCTGAGAAAATCACAGCGAATCTCACATCACACCACGTACCCCCAAACTACCTACGATCTCCTGAAGAGCTCCCCAAACTCAAGGAAACCACACCGAAAATGTTCGCGATGTGGACTCTGCTTCAGAACGCAAAGCGAATCAGCTCATGCAACACTGAACGTTGGAGTTTCACCTCTTGGGCATATCAATGTCGTAATGGTTCTAGCTTACACCACACAGCTTGCACCACCTATCTTTTGCATCACAATGCAGTAACTTACTGTTCGGGGTCAACGCTGGCAAACATATCCCTGAGGAGTCAGTATTGGTGAGGTTCCGCCTGGTGCCTGCTTGGTGGCCGAGAAATCGTATGGTATAGCGATACCCGTGGTGGAGACGTGGAGACGGGCCGAAGAGATCTCGGCCCCAGGAATAAGAAAGCACGGCACTCCACGGTGCTAAGGGAGGATATACACCTACTATCAGGGGCGCGCGGATATGTGGTACAATCTGTGTGGGGTGCAAGCTGCGTGGCCGCCCAGCGCACGAGGCGCCCACAAGGTACTCCAGATTTCTTAATAAAAGGGAGGGGGTCACAACCCTCCCAGACGAAAAGTTTCAGACCCCTCCAGACCATCCATGAAGAGGCGGCCCTTCGCCCAGATCCCCCCCGAACCCTCCGAGACAGCTCAGATCGGAACCCCCCCAAATGTGCCCCCCCCCACTGTATTATGGAATCCGGAGTACTCTCAAGGGGCGGCCACGGGCGAGCATCCGGGCGACACATCTGCACAGCCACCCCGGTGCACGAGGCGCCCACAAGGGTGCCCACGAGGCCGCAGGCGGGCACCAAGGGGCCACCAACGGGACACTGGGCAACACTGCGCCAAAACCCATCAAATCCCTGAGGGGCACAAGTCAGAACCTTCGGCCTGGGAAACAAACAGTCAGAACCTTCGGCCTGGGAACGCCTGGGAAGTACACATGCTTTTGCGTGCACCGATTCTGGCCAGCAGCTTCCTGGGCGTCAGCATCGGTATACGCCCTCGAGGCTTGATGCACCATGCGTCGTAAAGTCGGACTCCAGGATCACCTGGGGTCCACAGCGGCTGGCGTTGCACACCGGATCGATCCCTGACAGTTCCCGGGGCCCGAAACTGGCCCTCCAAAGGCGAAATCGAGAAGCATCCAGCGCGATGTTCACGCACTACCTGGATGACCCTCACCAAAAACCAAAGTCGCTGGTGGGTCCGCCAATTCCAAGTGACAAGGGCACGCACACGCACACACACACACTCACACACACACGTCCCCCCAGGCCGTCAGAGACTCTTCGAAACCGTCTTGGGGGCGATTCGGGGCCCTCTGGAGCCGCCTTGACGGCGGTCTTAGATTGATCAGGGGAATATGGTTGAGTTGTAGGCCAGAGGACTCATAGACGTATCTCGGGGTGTCTCTTTGGAAGTCTCTCGGAGCCCGGTTGGGAATCTCTCGGGGGCCCTGTGGTCTTCCAGAGCTGTCCTGGGGGCCTCTTGGGGGCCCTCGTTTGGGCCCTCTATTGGGCATCCCAGGAGCCTCCTGGGGCCTCTCGGGAGCCTGTTGGCGGCCTCGGGGGTCATCTTTGGGCGGAGGGCTCGAAATGGCAGCTCGGGTTCCCCCTCTTGGGATCCTCATGTGGCCCTCTTGGGCCGCCTTCGGGGCTTCTTAGTCCGTCTTGGTGCCTCTTGGGCCGTCTAGGGGCCCTCCTGAAGGCCTCGATTTTGGAGACCTTTTGGGTCGTCTTGGACCGTGCTGAAATCAAGAAGGCAAACATATCCTCCAATTGCACGTTTCGCTGTCAAGAGTTCTGCTGCTCGGGGCCCTCTTGGGGTCCCCTGGGAGCGGTCTTGCAGCGCCGTAGACGCCTTCTGGGACGTCTGAAAGGCATGTTGAGCCGTCGGAAACCCCTGGAGGGCGTCGCGGGGGTGACTCGGGGCAGGCTTGGGCCGCCGGGACGACGGCTGTCGGAGTCCACTCGGAGGCGAGTGTTCCCCCCCTCCAAAGGCGGGCCCGGCACTCGGCACAAACGCACTTACGGTCAGGGCTCCCGCACCTGGGGCCCCGGGGCCCAGGGGGGAGGTGATCGACCTTCTGACTGAGCCTGGCAATCCAGCCCCCCTCCATCCTCCTCCCCCTCCTCATCCTCCTGGTCTTCCTCCTCCCCCTCCTCATCCTCCAGGTCTTCCTCCTCCCCCTCCTCATCCTCCTCCCCCTCCTCATCCTCCTGGTTTTCCTCCAACCCCCCCCTCCTCCCATTCCGACCGCACGTGCGCAACCCTCCAGCGGATCCAACGGGGGGGCGATTGTTGCCCCATCCACAGAACGGGGCCCGTCCGTTCAAGCATGTACATGACAAAGAACTCAACTGCCTTTTGCAGGAAAACTGGAATCCACGCACCAACTGAGAACGTCAGGAATCTGGTCTCCGCCTCGGAGCGCAGTCCCGCCGCGAAACACACCGTGCACACGAGCAGCGGTGAAGGAATCGATTGGCCGCGCACGCTGGCCACGCAACATTTCGCCAACTGGAATGCAACCACGGGCTGAACGCAACACTGGCCTCAGGTCGGGCATGTCCCCCTACAGGCGGATTTGGGACGAAAAACTCAAACAAATCAAGAAATATACACATAAATGTTCCAACAAGACTCAAACAACAAATCCCCTGACTATTTTTGCCCATTTTTGAAGATACTCCCTGTAGAGGGACAGGACCGACCTAACACTGGCCACGCCGAGCAGCAACAATGAAAAGAGCGCAGCGGTTCGGGCCTGGGCGGCCGCCTTGGCCCGCCTGGGGTGGGGGACATCGGCCGTCTCCGCCCGCGGCCCGGCCCTGCGCTCTGCCGCCGCCGCCAGCGCCCGCTGCGGCACGACCGCCTGCCGCAGGGAGAGGCAATACGGGGCACGCGGCAGACAGTGGAGAACAAAACGGTGGTGCCCCAGACGCGGATATCACCGTGCGTGAACTGTGGGTGAGATGCCACCCGGGTGGCTGATGGGGTCTCGTGGGAGGCTTCTGGGGGGCCTCGTTGAAACAGTGTTTGAACCTCGTGGGGACTTCTTGGGAGGCGTCTTAGCGGCCTTTTGGGGCCATTGAGTGGCTTTGGGGGGACTTTTCGGGGTCGAAGGCTGACAGCGTCCGTTTGGGTGTGCCCTCTGGGCCCCTTTTGGAGGGAGGGCGCCCCAGACAAGCCCCACGTCAATATCTGGGAGGAGAAAAACACCACGAGCAACGCCGGTCGACGGCCCGCGCGGATCTCCCGGATCGGCGATGACCCCCTCTCCCCTGCGTGGCTTCCCCTGGGGCTGTAGGCGACCCGAGGAGGGGGAAGAGGAGGTAAAGGAGGGGGAGGGGGAGGGGGAGGAGGAGGAGGAGGAGGAGGAGGAGGAGGAGGAGGAGGAGGAGGAGGAGGAGGAGGAGGAGGAGGAGGAGGAGGAGGAGGAGGAGAGGAGGAGGAGGAGGAGGAGGAGGAGGAGAGAGGAGGAGGGGAGGGAGGAGGGGGGAGGAGGGGAGGAGGAGGGGGAGGAGGAGGAGGAGGAGGAGGAGGAGGAGGAGGAGGAGGAGGTCGGGGTCCTCGGTGGCGTTCCGGGCACGACTGGGGCCTCCTCGGCGGCCTTCCGGGAAGATTCAAACACCCGCGGAACGCTCTCGACGAGACGCGGCCGCGGACGATCACCCCGAGGCTGGCACGCCTCCCACACGCCCGAAGCCCCTGCGCACCTCCGGTCGGGATCGACTGAACAGAACACCCGCGAGGACACAAGAGACTCTTCCGACGGCAGCGCGGCCCCTGGACACCAGAGGACATGCGGGCTGCATGCACAGGACACGTGGGCCCCCTCGAGCTGGCAAGGTCGACCTGCCAGTCAGGGCCGACTATAAATATCGTTGGGTCGGGCGTGTCCTCCTACAGGCGGACTTTGGACGAAAATTCGCCGGCCCAACGGGCCAGAGGCGTGCTAAGATCTCCGGTAACTACTTAACAATATTTTTAATTCGCGCGCGCGGGGCGGCCCCTGGGGGGCCCCGGGCGAAAAGTACCCCGGCCGATCCCCGGCCAGGTTCCGGCTGGGTCCCGGGCGATCCCCAGGGGGGGGGCTATTTTTCGCTACCCCTCACGAGGATCGTGGCCTCCAAGGGGGGGGCTGCAATCGACTACCCCCCCTCCCGCCCCAAGGAGCCCCCAAGAGCCCCCCAAGAGGCCCCAGGGGCGCCCAATACGCCGCCAAGGAGCCCCAAGACGCTCCCAAGAAGCCTCCAAGAAGCTCCCAAGACGGCCCCAAGAGGCCCGAAATAGCGCTCCAGGGCCGGCGGAATGAGCGAAGCGATTAAATAATCATCAAACGTACTATCAAACACCAGGCTATTGTTTTACTACTTTTGCATTTTCCTCCTGTAGAGGGACACGCCCGACTTAACACAAGGGCCCCCTCGATTTGGCAAAGTCGACCTGCCAATGAGGGCCGACTCTAAGTATCCGTGAGTCGGGCGGGTACCTCTACAGGAGGAAGATTGAAAAATAATAGGAAAACTTTCAGGGGACGATGTTTCTTCTACGTGTTGCTATGTTCCAATAGTTTTGCACCATATTCTGAGATTCGCCCAAAATCTTCCTCTAGCAGGCCATGCCCGACCCAAAAGTATCCTGCCCTTCCTCGAGGCAGCCTGCGGCTTCTGCTCTGGGCCCAACCGCGCCGGCGCCGCCCCCGCGGCGGCAGCGGCCGGCGACTCGGCGGCAAACTGCAGGACGCGCGGGCGGTTCGCCGAGGCGCCTCGCGCGTGCAGCTGCAGGGCGCCTCCTCCTCCTCCTCCTCCTCCTCCTCCTCCTCTCTCTCCTCTGCCTCCTCCTCCTCCCTCCTCCTCCCCTCCTCCTCCTCCTCCTCCTCCTCCTCCTCCTCCTCCTCCTCCTCTCCCGCCTCCGCCTCCGCCTCCGCCTACGCCTCCGCCTCCTCCTCCTCCTCCTCCTCCTTCCTCCTCCGCCGCCGCCGCCGCCTCCGCCTCCGCCTCCGCCTGCGCCTCCGCCTCCTCCTCCTCCTCCTCCTCCCTCCTCCTCCTCCTCCTCCTCTCTCCTCCTCCTCTCTCCTCCTCCCTCCTCCTCCACCTCCTCCTCCCTCCTCCTCCTCCTCCATCCTCCTCCTCCTCCCCCGCCTCCTCCTCCCTCTCCTCCCCCTCCTCCCTCTTTTCCTCCTCCTCCTCCTCCTGCTCACACTGCCCTCCCTTCCTGAAAATGCCAGAACATCCAATATGATCCAACGCAGCAGGGGACAGCGAAGGAAATCACAACAAGGGCAAGGCATTTGCAACGGAGCGAGCTCGAGACATTACCATGCCCCTCATTCACCAGTTGCCTTCTCTCATTACGTTCAATCTATCGTCCCTCGTACTTCTCGACCTCTCCACCCTTGTCGTGCTCCCCTCTCCTTTCTGGGAAGGGCATGGCCAATCGTCACTCGACGCGCCACTCACGTACAACTCTGCTCCAGTTACTACTCCTCCTCCTCCTCCTCCTCCTACTCCTCGTCCTCCTTCTCCACTTCGTATTGCTATTATTGTTCATCCTCCTCCTCCTCGTCCTCCTCCTCCTCCTCATCATCAGCATCATCACCATCATTATCATCATCAGCAGCATCATCATCAGCAGCAACTTAAACATCATCATCATCATCACCACCACCAGCACCACCACCACCACCATCATCATCATTATCACCAGCATCATCATCAGCAGAAGCATCACCATCATCATCATCATCATCATCATCAGCATCATCATCATCATCATCATCATCATCATCATCATCATCATCATCATCATCATCATCATCATCATCGTCATCATCATCATCAGCATCATCATCATCATCGTCATCATCATCATCACAATCATCATCATCATCATCATCATCATCATCATCATCATCAGCATCAGCATCAGCATCAGCATCATCAGCATCAGTAGCATCTACATCATATCATCACCATCATCAGCAGCATTATCATCATCACCATCACCATCATCACCAGCACCACCACCACCACCAGCATCATCATCGTCGTCGTCGTTATCAGCATCCTCATCATCCTCATCAGCATCATCATCATCATCAGAATCAGCATCATCGCTCTCATCATCAGCATCAGCAGCATCATCAGCATGATATACAAAATCAGCATCATCCTCACCACCACATTCACAATGACCACCACCAGCACATCGAGCATCATCATCATCATCATCATCATCATCATCATCATCGCCACTAGCATCGTCATCAGCATCAGCATCATCGGCATCATCATCCTGAGCATCATCGGCAGTATCATCAGCGGCATCAGCATCATCATCCTCAGCATTATTATCATCACCACAATAATCAGAATCAGCATCATCATCATCATCAGAATCGTCAGCATCATCGTCGTCGTCGTGGTCGACATCGTCACCTTGATCGTCATCGTCATCGTCATCGCCATGGTCATCGTCATCGCCATCGTCGTCGTCATCGTCATAGTCAGCGTCATCAGCATCATCATCATCATCATCATCAGCATCATCATCATCATCACCATCATCATCACCATCATCAGCAGCAGCATCCTCATTAGCATCAGCAGCAGCATCGACATCACCATCAGCAGCAGAAACATCATTATCGCACCACCACCACCATCATCAGCAGCGTCAGCATCAGCAGCATTATCATCATGATCATCATCATCAGCAACGTCACCAGCATCAGCATCAGCATCAGCATCATCATCATCATCATCATCATCATCATCATGATCATCATCATCATCATCATCAGCATCATCATCAGCATCATCAGCATCATCATCTCTACCACCACCATCGTCATCATCATTATTATCATAATCGTCATCAGTGGCATCATCATCCTCATCAACAGCATCATGACCATGATTATCATCGCCACCACCACGATCAGCATCATCATCAGCATCATCATCTTCGTCATCACCATCGTCATCGTCATCGTCATCATCGTCGTCGTCATCGTTATCATCATTGTCATCATCGTCATCATCGTCACCATCATCAGCATCATCAGCATCAGCTTATTCATGATCTTCAGCTTCATCATCATCTCCGTCGCCGTCCTCCTTCTCCTCATCATCATCGTCATCGTCGTCGCCATCGTCATCATCACCATCATCATAATGATCATCATTACCGTCATCAGCATCATCGGCATCATTACCATACATCTCCTCCTCCTGCAAGCCTGGAAGACAGAAGGCGGCAACATGAACTGCTACGACGCGAAGGCCGAGAGCAGGGTTCACCTCGGGCGCACGCGCGCTCGGACCAAATATCCGACGATATGATCTTCTCGGGCCTGGAATTTCTCTCGGTCTCGGCCACTGGGCACCGTGAGCAGGCCCGGGGCAGTCAAAAAACGGGTGCGTGGCGAAACACTGCCCCCGAGGAAGGGGTCGGGACCCCTCGGGGCCGCGCGTCGAGAAACGCGTCCGACGTCTGAGAGGGTGGAAGGGGCCGCTGTCGAGCTCTGGGGCTATCAAGCGGATCCCGTGCGAACAATTACCCCCAGGAGTCGGGACTTCGGGCAGGACCCGTCAGCATCAAAATCGGGAAGTCGGATCGGATCGGAACGCGCATCGGATCACGCGCTCCGGGCCCGTGTTACGCATCAGCCTTGTGCAGTCTTCTCCCGGTCTTCGACGGTCTGTTGGCGATATTTGGCGGTCTTCGGCACGAAAGCTGGACGGTTGGATGAACAAGCGGTCCATGATCGAACACCTAGCTCAAGTTGGAAAGCGAGAACAAGATCAGTCAGCATCGAACTGGGAGATCAGAACGTGCACCGGATCGGGATGCATCGTCACGGAGTCAAGCTCGACTCGGACCACTTGCGCCAGGATGCACACCAACGAAGCAGGCATCGGGCCGCACATGATCGCCGTGACATCACAATCGAATTGGACCAGGCCGGCCGAAACTGATACTCCAGATTTCGTAATAAAAGGGAGGGGGTCTGGACCCTCCAAGACAAGCCATTTCAGACCTCCCCCGTGGGAGAACCCTCCAAAACATCGTCCCCAGACCCCCCAGGCCCTCCAAGATAGCCTGGAAGAGACCCCCCCCGAAATGAGACCCCCCCCCCTTTATTACGAAATCTGGAGTACTGTAGACCGGATCGATCGAATCGCAGTGGACCCCTGAGCGGAGGAGGGAGGCCGGCCGCGCGCAGCGGGCGACCCTGGTCAACGGCGGCTTCCAGTGGGCGGCTTGCCGATCGCTGCCTGGTGACGCGACAGCAGCGGCCTGCGCGTGCGGGCTCACACGTCGGTGGGAAGAAGCGGGTGAAGACACGAAGTAGGAGGTCGGATAAAGGTGGGCTGGGTCCTAAAACGACGCGACGATCGGGACAAAATCGGATCGGGATAACTCGAAATCTCTGAGAATCGGCGGGTTTGGAGGATGTATTCTATTGGGCGCCGCGGCCGCTCCAGAGCGTTCTGGAACGCTCTGAGAGCGCTCCGGAACGCTCTGGAGCGATTTATCCCGATCCTAGCCCTGTTTTAGGTCCAGGCCTTCCCAGAGGACCACAGAACACAGCAGAAGCACATCGGACCTTGGAAGTAGGGAGGTGCTTGGAGCAGATTGGGACCTGGGAGAATCCACAGGCACCTAAACGACCGGCGTGCATCTGCCACCGAAGCCCGGTCGGCCCATGGCTCCCAATCTCGGGATCCAAGGGGACCGGCTGTGACCCTCACTCGGGCTGGCCACCTGCTGGTCTTCGGACCACAACTCGGGCCTCCCGCAGCCGTTCGGGACAGTGACCGGCGTCCCCAGAACGCCCTCGACAGGGCGCAGCTGATGGAAGCGCCCCGGGCCCAGGACATCTCTGGCGAGGTGCTCGGAGCCGACGGGAAGCTTCAGACAGCTTTTCAGCAACGCTCCGGACGAGGCGGAGCCGGCAGAAGCGCCCCGGGCCCTGGCAGCGCCCCCAGACGCCCAGGGAGCCGCACAGAAGGCCTCCGAGCACCCTCCAGCGCTGGGCGCAAAAGCACTCGCCGTCGCTCGGACGTCCGTATTCCCTGTGTTTTTTGTTCGGTGTCGTGCGTGGCTTCCTCGCCGGATGATCATGGATATTCCAGACTTCGTAATAAAAGGGAGGGGGTCTGGACCCTCCAAGACAAGCCATTTCAGACCCCCCCCCCGTGGGAGAACCCTCCAGCACATCGTCCCCAGACCCCCCCAGGCCCTCCAAGATAGCCTGGAAGAGACCCCCCCCCGAAATGAGACCCCCCTCCCTTTATTTCGGGAGCGGCCAAGAGGGGGGTGTCCAAGAGGGGGGGGGTGCAAATCATGACCGGCGGCATGTGCGCGGCCCAGCGGGGGGGCCAGGGACGTAATGAAACAAGAAGAGGCGCCATGAAGTCTGGGGAAAAATCATGGCCCCCGCCATGATATCCACCCCCCCCTAGTAATCACCCCCCTCTTTTCCGCTCCCGACTTTATTACGAAACCTGGAGTATGCTCCTCGATGGTCCTCGCCAGAAGGGAAAAGTGCACACGTCCGAGCGATGCCAAGGGAGCAGGGCTGGGCCTTGACGGGGCGAGCGGCTGCAGGCCGCCGGGCCCCCGACCTCCGCCCCCTCGGCGGCGAGCGAAAGGGGGGGGGGGGAATGAGAAGCAGAAGGCCTTCTCAGAAGGGAGGAGGAGGAGGAGGAGGAGGAGGAGGAGGAGGAGGAGGAGGAGGAGGAGGTGGAGGAGGAGGAGAGGGGGGGGGGGGGGAGGAGGAGGAGGAGGGGAGGAGGAGGAGGAGGAGGAGGAGGAGAGGACGAGAACGAGGAGGAGGAGGAGGAGGAGGAGGAGGAGGAGGGAGGAGGACTTCTCAGAAGCCCGGGCGCCTTCTGAGCAGCTTTCCGCGCCCTCGGGGAAGGCGCAGGAGACTCCTCGGGAAGGCCGGGGGGGCTTCCGAGCCTCCTGAGAAGGCTCGCCCCGTCTCTGGGGGAGCCAAAGGGTACCAGTACCGCTACTCCCTGGACCTCTCCCAGGGTGCGTTCTGACCGGAACTTCGAGGCGAATCCAGGGGCAGCAACGAGGGCCTCCCAGGAGGCCCAAAAAGAGCGAAAACGAGGAGAGAAAGCCAGCGGTATGGTTAGGTCGGGCATGTCCCCCTACAGGCGTATTTTGAAGGACAAATCATAAATAGTCAAAAAATAGTTTAAACAAATGCTCCAAAATACTAAGAAAAAATCGTCCCACGACTATTTGTTTTACTATCTTTGAATATTCCCCCTGTAGAGGGACACGCCCGATGGTACCTTTTCCTCCTCTGATTGTCACTCCCCCCCCGCTCGCCTCCGGCGCGGCCACACGCAGCAGTGGCCCCTGGGCCAGAAGTGCTCTTCGGTCGCGCGGCGTGCCCTGGCCGCTGCACATGCGTTGCTGGCAGCAATCAGGGGCGCCCAAGAGGGGGGCGTCCAGGAGGAGGGGTGCAAAGCACGGCCCGAGGCATGTGCGCGGACCAGGGGGGGGGAAGCAGGGCACACATTGACATAAGAAGAGGCACCATGAAGTCTGGGGAGATCTCATGGACCCCGCCACGATATCCACCTCTCCTAATATTACGTCGGGCATGTCCACCTACAGGCAGATTCTAAAAACAAGCAAAAAAGTCCCGCCCTCCAACAAATTATCCCAGTGCGACCCTACCTAGGAGTTGGAGCCCCTAGGAAAGCAGCATTAGTAGTAACAGTAAAGCTAAGCTGCAGCTAAGTTAAAGCTAAGCTGCAGCTAAGCTGCAGCTAAGCTAAAGCTAAGCTAAAGCTAAGCTAAAGCTAAGCTAAAGCTGAGCTAAATATAAGTTAAAGCTAAGCTAAAGCTAAGCTAAAGCTAAGCTAAAGCTAGGCTGAAACTAAACTAAAGCAAAGCTACATCAAAGCTAAAGCTAAGCTACAGCTAAGCAAAAGCTAAGCTAAAGTTAAGCTAAAGCTAAACTAAAGCTAAACTAAAGCTAAAGTAAAACGAAGCTAAAGCTAAGCTAACGCTGAGTTACAGCTAAGCTAAATCTAAACTACACCTGAGCTAAAGTTAAGCTAACGCTAAGCTAAAGCTAAGCTAAAGCTAAGCTAAAGCTCAGCTAAAGCTAAGCTTAAGCTAAAGCTAAAGCTAAAGCTAGGCTAAAACTGAGCTAAAGCTAAGCTACAGCTAAGCTGGAGCTAAGCTAAATCAAAGCTAAAGCTAAGCTGAAGCTAAGCTAAATCAAAGCTAAAGCTAAGCTAAAGCTAAGCTAAAGCTAAGCTAAAGTTAAGCTAACGCTAAGCTAAAGCTAAGCTAAAGCGAAGCTAAAGCTCAGCTAAAGCTAAAGCTAAGCTGCAGCTAAGCTAAAGCTAAGCTAATGCTAAGCTAAAGCTAAGCTAAAACTGAGCTAAAGCTAGGCTAAAGCTAAGCTAAAGCTAAGCTAAAGCTAAGCTAAAGCTAAAGTTAAAGCTAAAGCTAAAGCTCCCAGGGGACTGGGGGAACCGCGGGGCGGGGACCGGGGGAACCGCCCGGGGCGCTTTCCATTGCCCGGCCCCTTTAAGCTAAGAGAGTAAGAACCCTTCTAGGCAGAGCCTAGGTAGGGAAAAACTGTCAAACATCACCGGAAAATCCTCCCCTGGCTATGTCCTTGCGATGCTTGAACACTCCTCTTGTAGAGGGACACGCCCGACCTAACCCTGGTCATCACCCCCCTCGTGGCCGCCCCCGCAGCAAGTGGCGCGGCCCGCGTGCCAGGGTCTGGGCACCACCACCCGCCACGGCTCTTTCCCCGGCGGCCGCCGCGCACGCCCCAGAGGCGCGCTCGGCGGCCGCCGGCACTCCCGCCTGCGGGAGGGGGGGTCGCCCCGGCGTGCCGCCCGCACTCCCGCCTGCGCAGCGCCCCAGTCCGGAGGGGAGGGAAGGAGGAGGAGGAGGGCATGGGGGCAAGAGGCGGAGGAGGAGGAGGAGGAGGAAAGGGAGGAGGAGGAGGAGGAGGAGGGGGAGGAGGGGGAGGAGGAGGAGGAAAGGGAGGAGGAGAGGAGGGAAAAGGAGGAGGAGGAGGAGGAGGAGGGGAGGAGGAGGAAGGGGAGGAGGAGGAGGAGGAGAGGAGGAGGAGGAGGAAGAGGAGGAAGAGGAGGAGGAGGGGGGGGAGGAGGCGGAGGAGGGGGTCAGGCGCGAGGGGGAGGCGCGGGCAGGGTGGAGCGTCGAGAGGAGAGAGCAGGGGTGGAGGGGTTGGCCATGGCCTGTCACAGTTGGCGCTCAGAGGCGTCCGAAACAAAGAGATGAAGGACGGAGAAGGAGAATTGAAGAGGTGGAGGAGCGAAGCAAGGCGAGGCGAGGCGAACGCCAGAGTCGCGCGCGCTCCGCCTGGGAGCCCGCCTGTGCCCATCAGGGCAAGGTGCGGAGGCCATGGCCTCAGAGATGTGGTGCGCGCGCGGACACCGCTGCTGCTTACAGGAGGGGCTCGGCCACAAGAGACCTTCCACACGAAACCCAAAGCGGCGACCCCAGGATGTCCATTGATTTTTGGTGTGGGGACGTCACGCTATCGATCGCAATAGCATCGAAACCCAAGAAGCCCAGGGCACACTGGAGGCAAGCAGGCTGTCTCGTGCATGGGTTACCACTGTACACGCGCTGCTCCAGAAAACTTCTAGTTATGTCGTGTTGGCGATTGGGAAGCTCCATGACGCAGGAGGGACACACATGAAACTCGCGACAAACACTTCCGCGCCCACACTTCGTACGAGAGAGATCTTTCTCATCCGTTACACTGTGAGCTGATGCGTGTGATCTGGTGCATGTGAGCTGGTACATGTGCTGCGTGCTCAAACTGCATTGGTCGAGTATGTACGCTCTTCTCTCTCTCGCTCTCTCTCTCTCTCGCTCTCTCTCTCTCTCTCTCTCCTCGTGGACAATTCCAAGCCAAACGAAAAAACGTGAGGCGGCAGACTCGCACTTTCGTTTGATTTATCTGAACCCCTTACGAGCTGCAGAGCCGCGCCAGGAAACTGCAAATATTGGCCTGCATTGAGCTCTCCGAAGCGCCAGAATCAGCACTGGGCGTTTTCAATGTTGGTTCCCGATATCCCATTGATGGCCACGTATCCTGGACAGCAAGATCAGCCTTGTCTTGCTTTCTTACGATGGGATGCAAATGAGCGAGCCGATGTTTCTGTTCAATCCTCAACACCATCGAGTGCACATCGTGAACAGGATGAATTCACATAGTTGTTCCATACTGTAACGCACCGCGCGGCCAATCAGATGGCACATGTAAGAACGTTCTCGAAATATGTGTTGACGAATGCAAGGACGCCGATGGCAGATTGAAGAACGTCGATGGCAGAAGGTTCTCAGACTATTCGTGTTGAAGAATGTTCTCGATGGCAAAGTGAAGGACGTTTGCTTCGAGGAACAGGCTCACCACCTCAAGACGTCTGGCCGCAGTCAGTTCTGTACACAACGGTCCTCTGGCGACAGTGCATAGATCTCAGGGCTTTCAACTGGCTCTCAAGAGCCCTCTGCAGCCAGCGGTCCAATTCAGCGTTCAGAAGCAGATGCTGCAATTGCGGCGGCGGGGCCGAGTCTGGAGAAAGGCGGCTCTACTGGTTCATCCCTCCCGAGCTCGGATGCTCGCAGCAAAACAGCTGTCCTTCCGAAGGGATCGCAGGATGCCACACCTCGACAATGGAAGGGACAAGACGCACGCCCTTCTTGGCTGGCTTGGGCGAGTGTGCTGCCATTACTGCAATCAACTGACTCTCTGCATTGTGCAATGGTGAGCTCGTGCAGCAGGTTTCATCATCACCCGCTCAACCGTCCTTCTGCTGAGGTATTGACAGGTGGAAGAAAATGATATGTTCTACGCTTGTGTCACATCGTTCGAGAAAGAAATCTGGTATCCAAAGCGCATCTCTCAATGGGTGAGTTGGGCTCTGTGACTGAGCTATACGATGGCTAAGCTCTGTCAGCGACCAGACGCTGCTCTTCTGAGCCCAATGTAGCATTGAGGCTGGCGTTGCTCACCGCTTTTGTTGTAGTTGGGCAACGCCCAGTCTTTCTCATTCCTTGTGTTGGTGAATGTTCCCCGTTACTCTCATACATCTGGCGCACGTCATCACACGCTGAAGCGAGTGACTCAAAGCGGGTCCGTTCCATGTGATTTATGTGCGGTACTAGCACCACCTTGAATCCTGAACCGTCCTTGAGCAGGGAGGTGCAATCAGGGGGAGAACGACGAGTAGGATGAGGAGGACGACGAGGAAGAGGAGGAAGGAGAAGGACGACGACGACGAGGTAGAGGGAGGAGGAGGAGGAGGAGGAGGAGGAGGAGGAGGAGGAGGAGAAGGAGGAGGAGGAGGAGAGGAGAAGGGAGGAGGAGGGAGGAGGGAGGGAGGGAGGGAGGGAGGGAGGGAGGGAGTAGGAAAGAGGACGAGGGGAGGAGGAGGAGGAGGAGGAGGAGGAGGAGGAGGAGGAGGAGGAGGAGGAGGAGGTGAAGGTGGAGGAGGGCGAGGAGGTGGCGAGGCCCCCCGCCGCTCGCCTGGCTTAGTGCCCGGCAGCGGGGCGCGGGGCCCATGCGGCCCGCTGCGCGGCGCGCCGGCGGCGCCCCGCGCGCGCGCCGACCCGGCCGCCCTTTCTTTGTTGAGACGCTGGCACGCGGCAGGCCGCACGAAGGAGGCGACGACGACCACGGCGGTGACGACGGCGACCACCACGACAACGACGGCGACGGCGGCGACGGCGACGGCGACGGCGGCGGCGGCGGCGGCGGCGGCGAAGACGATGGCGGCGGCGGCGGCGGCGGCGGCGGCGGCAGGGACGGCGGCGGCGTCGACGTGGGCGACGGCGGCCCTGGAGGCGAGGGGCCCCCCGGAAGGGCTGCACCGCTTCAAGGGGGGGGGGCCAGGGGCTCTCCAGGGGCGCAGGGACCGTGGCACAAGACACGGCTCGGGGCGAAGATCTGGTCCTTCTCCTCCGCCAGGAGGAGGAGGAGGAGGAGGAGGAGGAGGAGGAGGAGGAGGAGAGTGAGGAGGACCCACTCCCTCAGGAATCGAGAAGAGAAGAGAAGAGAGGAGAAAAGAAGAGAAGAGAAGAGAAGAGAAGAGAAGAGAAGAGAAGAGGAAGAGAAGAGAAGAGAAGAGAGAAGAGAGAGAAGAGAAGAGAAAGAGAAGAGAAGAGAGAAGAGAAGAGAAGAGAAGAGAAGAGAAGAGAAGAGAAGAGAGAGCAGAGCAGAGCAGGAGCAGGAGCAGGAGCAGGAGCAGGAGCAGGAGCAGGAGCAGGAGGAGGAGAAAGGAGAAGGAGGAGGAGGAGGAGGAGGAGGAGGAGGAGGAGGGGGGGGAGGGGGAGGGGGGAGGGGGAGGGGGAGGAGAGGGAGGAGGAGGAGGAGGAGGAGGAGGAGGAATTGGAGGAGGAGGAGGAGGAGGAGGAGGAGGAGGAGGAGAGCAGGGAGCAGCAGGAGCAGGAGCAGCAGGAGCAGGAGGAGCAGGAGAAGCCTGGAGCAATCGGGCGCTTCGAGTTTTGCTCTGTGCGGGGGCCCCTGGACATCAGACCGTGGACGACAGGGTGCTTATATATATATATATATATATATATATTATATATATACATACATACACATGTGTATATATATACATAAAAAGAATACTCGCGGCCATGCCTGGTTAATATATCCTCTGGTGTGCTGTCTTCCAGCTGTTCAGTCGTCTCCGCTCCTCCGCAGCTGGATGCTGCCTGCCAGCCGTGAGCCGGCTCGGAAGGTAACATGCAGATCGCAAGTGAAAAGGAAAACTGTGGACGACAGGGTGGGGGACCTGCTCAGGGGGGAGGGGAGGGCCATCGACCTTGAGTCGGTGATGCGTCGCCGACAGATCGGCGATGGCGCCCTCGGTGGCGGAACCGCGCACTCCTGCTCGGGGTGGGCCACCAGGCCCGGGTCGATGCGTTCCCCCCTGAGCGTATTGCTCCTGACTTCTCGACCCGCTCCCCAGGGCAAGCTCTTCGCCCCGACTCGTTCTGCTCCACGGCCCCGAAGCCCGCAGCCAGCCCGTGGAGGCCAGAGGTGGCCACAGGCAGGCGCCTCGATCTTCGGTCGAGGCGCCGGGTGCCTGGGAGTGGAGCTGGTCCTGCCCGCTCTCGCCTGTCGGGAGAAAGAAACTGCATAAACATGAGGAGGAGGAGAGGAGGAGAGAAGGGAGGAGGAGGAGGAGGAGGAGGAGGAGGAGGAGGAGGAGGAGGAGAAGGGAGGAGGAGGAGGAGGAGGAGGAGGAGGAGGAGGAGGAGGAGGAGGAGGGAGGAGGAGGAGGAGGGGGGGCGCGCCGAGCGCGCCAGGGGCGGCGCCAGAGGCGCCGCCTTGGGGGCACAAGCGCGGATTCAAGAAATCCGCGCGGCGCGCCAACAGTCGTGCTTGTGCCGTTTTCTTCCTCGAGAACATCTCGGGGCGGGGCTATCGCTTCTGCTTCCTTCCTCGGAATGCTGGCCTCGCTCAGCCTGTCCCAGGTCAGATCTGTACTCTCCCTGCTTCGCTGGCCACGCTCAGGCCTCAGAAGTAGCCCATGGTGACAGGAACAACCAGGAAGAGTCGGAGGCAGGAGCCGCAGCAAAAACAAGCAGAATAGAGGAACAACATACGGCATGCAAATCAACTATTGAGGGTCCGCGCGGAGCTCTCCTACATCTTCGACGGAAGCAAGAAGCCTCGTACGGTCACCTGCCACGTGCAGCAGATACCAGCACAGCCACCTCACGCGCAGAGTGTGATGGTGCCACCCTCGGCAAACACCCGTCCGCCCCCTCCTCCTGAGCGCTACCCTCGGTTCTTCCCCGCTGGAGTCTTCGCGCAAGAGGCCCCCGCTGACCGGTCCAAGCGCGTGCGCAGTCCCGAAAGAGGATGGACCATGCGGCGCCGTGCAGGAAGGACGCTTTCTCTTCTTCGGCCGTGCTGCGGCGGCGCTCCGCAGGGGACAGACCGAGGACACGACGAGGCACGAAGAGAAGGGCGGCTCCTGACATCCGACGGTGCGCTCTTTTCAGCCAGCGTTCGCCATCGGGGATCTGCTGACCCGGGTCAATCCAGACCCAGGTCAGTCAGGCCTGGCAGGATCCTGCAGAGGCCTACAGGATCCCGCAGGATCCTGCACCCACACCCGGCTCAGTGCGCCCCTGGCCCCGCAGGATCCTGCAGGACCAGGCGCCCTGGCGGACCCCCGCTTGCGCGGACCCCCGCCTCGAGGCCCCCGACACCCGGGGCAGGGCCGCGCCGAGGATCCGTGCTGTGAGCGCTGGGAACGCTGCGGCGGCGGCAGCAGCGGCGGCCCGCGCGCCCCGCCCGCGGCCGAGGGCCCTCACTCGCCGCCGGCCGCCGCCCAGCCGAGCCGCCGCAGCCAGGCCTCGCACGGCCCCGCCCACTCCGGCCGCACACCGTGCCCGTGCTTGCCCATGGGGCAGACGACGTGCTCCACGGGCACGCCGGCGGCCGCGAGGGCGGCCTCCGAGGCAGGGGGCCCTGCACTGCACGTCGGGGAGCGCAGAGGCCCGCGCGGGCTTCTCGGACCGGCGCTGGGCCCGCGGGGCGGCGCGCGCGCGCGCGCCAGGGGCCTGGCGCAGGTCCAAGAAATCCGCGCGGGCCTGCGAGAACACTCGTGCTCATGCAGTGTCGCTCCTCCTCCTGTGGCAACTCCTGGGAGCCTCTCACAGCATCTTGTTGGCTCTTGCGAGTCGGCGCCAATCGACGCTGAATCGACGCTCGGTGGGCGCTGTCTCATCGACTTCCAGACGCGAATCGACGCGAATCGACGGAATTAAGAGGGTATACCAAGCTCTCATGGCTTGCTACCGAATCCTCCTCACAGGTCGGGCGTGTCCCCCGAAAGGCGGGTTATGGACGGCAAGTTAAGCCTGTCCAAAAAATATTCAAGATAGATTTAAAAGATAATCAAAAAATCGTCCCCTGACTGCATTTGCTTGACTATCTTTGAATTTCCCTCCTGTCTAGGGACACGCCCGACTCAGTCCTCCTCGAGGCCTCGTAGGGCACCGTGTTGTCCTCCGCCGTGCACAGGCCGTCCTGCGTGGACACCGCCAGGAACGCCGGCGGCACCTCCGCGTGCACGAGCAGGTGCAGCGACTCCTCTGGGGGTGGGTGGCCCTCCTCGGGCCTCCACGGCCACCAGGCCGGCTTGGTGCAGTCGACGCAGGGGTACACCAGGACCTGCGTTAGGTCGGGCGTGTCCTCCTACAGGCGGATTTTGGAGGAAAAAAATACTCGAAACACACTTCTAAACTATTCAATATGTCTGTATATGTGTTCTCTTTCCTAATATAAAAGTCCCCAGACTACAGTCAACCCGCAGAGTGAGGATGTGCGATAAGGATGCAAGGCCCTTGGACGCCCATTTCGAGGGTTTCGAGTGGGGCGCGACCAACGAAAACGGCCAAGGATGCACCGAGGAGGCAAGGATGCAAGGGTACCCTTGGGAGGGATGCCTATCCTTACTCTGCGGGTCGACTGTAGTTGTTTGACTAGTTTTGAATCTTAAAACGACGCGAAGATCGGGACAAAATCGGATCGGGATAACTCGACATCTCTGAGAATCGGCGGGCTTGGAGGATGTGTTGGGCGCCGCGGCCGCTCCAGAGCGTCCCGGAACGCTCTGAGAGCGCTCCGGAACGCTCTGGAGCGATTTATCCCGATCATAGCCCTGTTTTGAATTTCCTCCTGTAGAGAGACGCGCCCGGCTCAAGACCTGCGCGTCGGGCCGCACCCCGCCGTCGCGCGCGACGGCCGCCGCGCCAGCCAGGTGGCCGCCCGCGGAGAAGCCGATGACCCCCACGCGGGCGCGGTCCACCCGCCACTCGGTGGCGCTCGCGCGCACGAGGCGCACCGCTCGGCGACTCCACGGGGGCATGGTCTGCCAAGGGTTAGGTCGGGCCTGCCCCCCCCCCATACAGAGGGATTTTCGACGAAAACTAAAAAGTACTCAGAAAATAATCCACCATGGTCAAAAAACACTCAAGAGATAGTCCCCAAACGTTTTTTCTTCACTATTTTTGAATATTCCCCCTGTAGAGGGACAGGCCCGACTTAAGCCAAGGATGTGGTTTGCAACCGGCCCCCTGGGGAACATCCTGGGGGGCACCCCTGGGGGTGCGCGGGGGCCTCGATGGAATCAGAATCATCCCGCGCCCCGAGGAGGCGAGACGAGGACAGTGTCGTGCCCCCAAGGCCCCAACGGTGCCGATCGCAAACCACACCCCGGCGCAACCACACCCTTTGCAGTCGCCGAATCGCGAGCTCCAGGTCTTCCATGGGGGCCGGCCAGTAGTGCCCCTCGGGTATGCACCGGTACCTGGAGGCCGCTCGGATGGGGGCGAGGCAGACGGGGTCGGCGCAGAGAAAATCGGGTTCCACATCGAGCCGCATCGCCGACGCATCGGCGATGCGGCGCGGGAGCCACCGATCCTTCGACACCATTTGGGCAGCCTGGAGTGCCTCAGCACGAAGGCCGTGATGCCCAGGCTGTTGAGCCAGACGGCGACCTTCTGGCCCTCGTTCAACATGCTGCACTTCTCGTAGTTGCCACCGGGCAGCACCACGAACGCAGCGCCGGTGCGGAGGTGCTCCGGGGGGTCGAACCGCATCAGCATCGACGGGTCCACGCGGGGGTCGAGCTCTGGGCGCAGGGCCCGCGGCACCTCGGGCGCGGACAAACTCCCGAGACGACGCCGGAGGGGAGGAGGAGGAGGAGGAGGAGGAGGAGGAGGAGGAGGAGGAGGAGGAGGAGGCGGAGGAGACGGAGGAGCAGGAGGAGGAGGAGGAGCAGAGAGAGCAGCGCCGATGATCCGATGAGGTCAACCGCCTTGAGACAACCGCACCCTGCAGGGCCACAAGGGAAAACAAAAAACGGATCTGGCGTTCGAGAACCACTTGAGGGGCCCGAGATTCTGCGGGGCCCTGCAGGGGGATTCCACTGGCATATCAGCGAGACCCCCAAATCGGGGACACCTAGGGGGCTCGCCTATGCACTCCCTCCACTGAACAGGGCCGAGGGACGGCGACGCATTAAACCGACCCCAGCACAACCCCTTTCAGTCCTCCTCGACGCGGCGCGGCACGGCCCAAACGTCGGAGGTCCGCAGGGAACCCGAGAGACGACCCTCGCCCAAGGAACTCGCCGCCAGCCGAAGCTGGCGGGAGGCCTCCGAAAGCCTCTGGAGCGTCTCTGCGCCGAAGGAGGCCTGAATGGGGGGGGTCCTAAAGAAAAGTCTAACCTCCAGGGCCCCATCCGAGTACTCGAGGATCGGGGAGAGGGTCCGAGCCTGGAGGGCGAGGAGGGTTCCATCTGGGAGGCGGCCCTGGAGGCACAGCTCAGCGGCACGGCGCGAGCCATTGATAGATTGCAGCCTGAAACGGGCAGGTCGACTCATAGCTCGTCGTCGTCCTTGTCCTTGTCCCTGCCGTCGGGCGCCGCCGCTGGTTTGTCCTTCATCCCAAGCTGCGCCAGCAGCTTGGAGGCTTCGCGCTCCAGCCCGCCTCTCGGCGGCGCCCCGGGGAGAAAGCGCACGGTCTGGTCCTTCTTGTCTGTGCCTGCCGCCATGACCGTCTGCTGAACCGCCTCCATCAGCGAAGCTGTGCCGTCTCCCCAAGGGTTCGCCTGCTGCGGGATGCCGAGCATGATCTGGAGCTTGAACCTGTCGGGCTTGGTGAGCTTCTTCTTGTCGTACCAGCAGGCCTTGAGTCGGAAGTGGCGGCAGTGGATCGCCAGCGTCTCGAGCGCCGACGGGGCTAGGATGACCTTCCGCCAGTAGTCCTGGAACACCGTCTGCGCTGCCGCTGGAGTCGTGCTGGCCCCCTCCGTGCTGCAGGCCCACTTGATGAACGCCTTGAACACGTGCGGCCAGGGGGGGCCGTGCTGGTGGTCCTTGCCGTCGGCCTTGCAGTTCTCGGCGTACGTCTTGCCCGTCTCCTGCAGCACCTTGACGAACGGGACCTCTGCCCCGACCATGTACGAGGTGTAGCAGGCGCCAGTCACCTCGGCCAGCTCGCGCGCGTTGGTGAGGGCGAGCCTCGTGAGGACGACCAGGAGCGCCGCCGGCGCTCCTCCCTTGCCGTTCTTCTGGTTGGCCTGCGCCTCTTGTCCGAGCTCCGCGAGCAATCGGGCCTGCTTGGCACCCTTGGAGTCGCTGGTCTCCTGGCCCTTGCGTTTCCCGACCGCCCAGCTGGGCTCGTCGAGATCCATCGCCTCCAAGCACGAGCGGGAGGTCCTCGAAATGGATGCGCGTATGGAGGTGGAGAGCAGGCTCGGAAAGAACTTGAGCCTCACATAGTCGGCAACAGAATGGGCCTGTCGGCGGGGCGAGCTCGAGAGTGGTACTGAGCTGAACCTTGCAGAAGCCCGAAGCGAACGAGTCCAGCACGTGGTTGTAAGCCGAGTTGCGAGACTGGAACCTGCTGCAACACACGAAGCACGAAGCGCCCTGGACAGCCTCAGCCAACAGGGTTTTGTAACCATGAGCGGCCCGAACGTGAACCAGCCACTGACGTTCCGTTAGGAACCATTTGGCGCAGTTCCCGACGGAGCAGCGAAAGCCCTCACCTTGTCCAGCGGGGACCTCAGGTGGTGCCTCTTGATGGGGACCAGAAGTGCCTGCAGGAGGAATACTGACCGAGAGCCACGCGGCCCTGACGACCGAGAGGTCCAGCTCCGTGAACCAGTCCCGCAAGTCCCCCTCCTCGAGAAACTCCAAAGGGGCTCCTGACCAGGACCGCATATCCTCCTCAGTGTCCACAGACGTCCTCCGAAGCGCCTCGAAGTCCCTGACGTACTGGATGGCCCAGGGGTTCGCCGTCTCCGTGAGATGACCCTCGGGTGTAAGGGTTCGGAGGCCTCGCATTTTCTCGATGTACATGTCCCCAAAGAGAGGGGCCCACTCGCCTAGGTGTCGCGCGGGCTCTCGAGCCCATTGCTGGTACCACCGCAGACGTCTGACACGGAACTCGATCTCGAGAGGAGGGACCCGCCAATACCTCAAGACCGCCTCGGAAGGGACCGAACGAGCGTGGCCCCCCTCCCAAGACGTCGCGGCACCCCTCATGGCTTTGCGCCCGAAGAAGACGACCCGCGCCGTGAGCTGGTCGATCTGGCTGGGGGACGGCAGGAAGGCCTCGCAGGCGGAGCACGCGGGGCCCACGACCCTGGCCAGGAACACGGCTCGTCGCTCGGTGTAGGCGATCCCCCGAGCGTACCAATATTTTCCCATGGAGTAGAAACCCGCCGAGATGGCCGCCAGGCGGGCCGAAAGCTCAGCCCGAAACGAACAGTTACCCATGACCTGGCCTCCAAGATGTCGGGTTGAGTCTGCTGGGGCCCCTGCAAGAAGAACCTTTTTTTCCGCCACTTCACGCCGCCGTGCATGTAGCCCCGTGCCCACGAAGGACAAGAGGCTGACGTTCTTGGCTGGGTTGAGCGCGTAGCCGTGGCGTCGGAGCTCAGCAGAGAGAAGCAAGTCGTATGCTCGGGACCACCGCGCGAGCTCCGCGGCCGTGGCCTGGTCGGGCGGCACCACGATCTTCCGAATGGCGTCGTCTACGTATGAGTGAAACGCCAAATCAAGAAGAACCTCCTCACCGTCAAAATTGAGCGCGAGCTGGCACCAGGTAGCCGTCTCGGGGCCAAACTCCGCGAACTGTTCCTGCACCTTCGCAAAGACGGTGCTGATGTCCCGCACAAAGACTTTCACCGCCCACGGGTCGCCAATGAGAGCCCCGACGCTGGGGCGCACGCAGAGGTCGCCGAACATCACGGCAGCAAAGCGGAAACGCTGGCGGCCGAACGAAACCTGGTCGTCCTTCATGATGCTCTGATTGGCGTCTGCGAGGCTGTCCCAGTTGGTGGACGCGAAGGCGTTGGTGATGTCCTTGAGGTCGGTGACGTGATTGAGGCCGAGGGAGCGCAGCTTCCATGTACACAGCTGCTGGCCCAGTATGGCCGTCTCTCTGCGCCGATGAGGTACGCAGCCATGAGCGAAAAGAGGTTCGTCCTGGAGCTCGTGTGGGTCCATAGCCGTGGCCATGAAGCCCTTGCCGAAAGGGTCGAGGAGATGAATGACTCTCTTCCAGGTGAGCGCCACTCCTTGACTCAAATGCCACACGAGCGGGACCTGGCCAGAACGTCGGAGCCTGTGGAGGAAGATCACCAAGAAACGCCACGTGTGCTCCTGGTCGATCTGCGGTGTCTCGTAGCCAACTCCGTGGTAGCGCCTGGACACGCGGCGGTACGGGCGAAGCAGCATCCACCATAGTTCCAGCGGGACCGACCACGGAGGGCAAGCACGACGCTTGGGAGCCCGTCGTAGCCAATCGCGAAGCTCTCTAAGTCGGCGCTTGGCCCAGCTCAGGCCCTCCTCGGTCCACGGGGCGATGAACTGCTGCGCCTCCTGGCCCGTGACGTCGTGGTAGATGTAGTCCTCGGCCTGCTTGACCCAGTCGATGTGGGTGGCCGCCATGCCCCCTTCGCCAGCCGGCAGCGACCAGCGCTCGGCCAACTCCTCCCCAGTGGGGAGGGCCACAGGCGCCCGTCGGTAGTCTCTCTTGCGGGGGCCCACTCCTGTGCCAGCAAGAAGTCGGGAAAGGCGGGCCACCTCGGCGCTGCGTCCATGACGTCGGGCCTGGTTGAGCTCGTCGACTGTGTCGATTCGCCACGTCGCCCAGTACTGTCTGCGGGCCGAGCGGAGCCACTTGGTGAGGCGTCGGAGCTGCCACTGCACGGAGAGGAGGGCCAGCGCGCCGTCGGCGCCGTCCGAGAAGTGGTCGTCGCTGAGCTGGAGTCGGAGGGCCCGCTGTTGGTCCAAGAGCGGCTGGATGGTGGCGGCCAGTGTGCGATATCCAGGGCGGTACTCGGGGGCCTGAGCGAAGTGCTTGCTGCCTATCGTCATCATAGCGTCCATCATGAAACCCCAGTCGGCGTTGGGTGTCTGCTCCTCGTTCTGGATGGTGGCCCACTCGTCCGCATGCTCACGTAAGTAGGTCTCGAGCTCGATGAGGAAGGCCGCACGGCCTTGGCCCGAGCGAAGCGACTGCATAAGCGCCTCGCGGTTACAGCGGATGGCCCGCGGCAGGTAGCCCAGGCGGCGGTGCTCCGTCATGTCACAGTGAATGTGAGAGTCCGTGGTGGCCGAGATTGAGTAGTACATGCAGGCGTGGACTGGGACGTGGTCCCTGGGCGAGCGGGTGGCGATAACCTGCAGCTCTCTCCCCAATCGACGAAGCGGCCCCGCCGAGGTGATGTCGCCCAGGCAGGCCTTGGGCACGAATATGAAATCGATCTGCGAGGCCGTCGTCGAGCCGAAGTACGTCGGGCCCAGGCCTATGTAACTGTTGACCGCCACCATGCCAAGCTCCTCCATGAGGGGCAGGATGCTGGTCGCGGCGTAGCGCTGCTTGTCCAGCGCCAGCGGGCCGCTGACGTCGGAAGTAGTGGGTCGCCACTGGGGGTCGCCGTCGAGCTGGTGTAGTCCGAGCCCTGAGTTCAGGTCGATGCAGAAGATGGGGAGGACCCGCTTGGAGCTGAGGTAGGGCAGCGAGCGGAGCCAGTCCGTGAGCGCGTCGCAAGTGCGGCGGTAGACGTCCTGGCCGCCCTTGACGGGCGGCGGTGGGTAGTAGGCTGAGCAGACGCCGAGATCGTACCTGGAGCACCTGGCGCGGAGCGCAAGCCCGCGCCCCGCCAGAGACCCAGCGGGCGTCCAAGTGTGCGTCACGGAAGCCTTCTTCACCTTGGCCCCCAGGATGATGCTGCAGCCCGCGCTCTTGTTGGTATACGGCCCGCGAGCCCACCCACTCTCTATACACCAGTTGTGATCTCCTGCCTTCCGCCAGCGGGCCTCCCAGGGTCTCTCACGTCCGTGGCCCTTGGCAGTCGTGCCGTTCAGACACACGAAGTCGTAGGCTCGGCAGGCCTGTGCGATCGCGGTGAGCCTCTCACCGCTGGACGCGTGCAAGGGGTTATACTGGAGTACTCGAAGGCGGCTGCCGACCATCACGCGCACGAGCAGGAGCCAGCAGCCCACACTGAGACATCTAGAAGCCATCGGAAACGAGGTAAGATGTGAGAGGGATGTCTCTGAAGAGAGGCATGCAGGTGGTGTGGGAGCTGGGCGCCTGTCGCCCTGGGCACCTGTGCGGGCACTCCTGACCCAGATGCCTTGGAGGAGGAGGAGGAGGAGGAGGAGGAGGAGGAGGAGGAGGAGGAGGAGAGGAGGAGGAGAGGAGAGAGGAGGAGGAGGAGGAGGAGGAGGGAGGGAGGGAGGGAGGGATGGAGGGAGGGAGGGAGGGAGGAGGAGGAGGAGGAGGAGGAGGAGGAGGAGGAGGCAGAGGAGGAGGAGGAGGAGGACGATGACGGAGAGGATTCGCGGGGGGGGAGCCTTCCGAGGCACACAGGTCGCCCAGACTTCGCGCTCCGCGCCGCGCGGGGGCGCAGGGCGCAGCGGCGCCCTCGCGCCCCCGCGCCGCCTGCTGGAGAGGGGCAGGCCCGCGGCACGCGACGCGCGAGAGCGCGGACATCCTCGGGCGGCCCACTCGCCATCGCTCGGACGTCCATTCCCTGTGCTTTGTCGGTTTCGTGCGTGGTTTTTTCGCCAAGTGATCAAGGATGCTCCTCGATGGTCCTCGCCGAAGGAAAAATGCACACGTCCGATCGATGCCGAGCCCAGCGGCGCTTCACCAAAAGCTCTGGCCCAAGGTCGATCC